TGATAAGATAAATATACTGACAGTCCTTTTACTTGATGAGCTCCTCTCCCATAACCATGTATTGTGTGAGATTCTGTGCACATTTGGCATTAATTTGTGTGAAACCGTCTTACTAAGATCAGAGAGCATCTGCAGGATCTGAGAGTCTCTGCAGTCTGCACTCTGAGAAACCGAAACCCTTCATCATCATCAGCCGCTCTGTCTTATCAGCGGAGACTCAAACGTCCTCACCAGCCACAGTGTTCAGACCCATGCATGAGTTTGCACAGGATCACAAAACAGAGCTTCACAAATGCCTGAAGCCTCTACAGGAGAAGCTGACGGTCGTTGAGTATGTGAAAGGAAACTGTGATCAAAGTGCAGCACACAACAAAGTTCAGGCTCAACTTAGAGAACAGTTTAAGAAGCTTCATCAGTTTCTACAAGAGGAAGAGGAGGCCAGGATCACTGCTCTGAGGGAGGAAGAGGAGCAGAAGAGTCAGATGATGAAGAAGAAGACTGAGGCTCTGAGCAGAGAGATAGCAGCTCTGTCAGATTCAATCAGAGCCACAGAGGAGAAGCTGAGAGCTGAAGACGTCTCATTCCTGCAGAACTACAAGGCTGCAATGGAAAGAGTCCAGCAGCGCCCCCTGCTGGATGATCCACAGCTGCACTCAGGAGCTCTGATAGATGTGGCCAAACATCTGGGCAACCTGAGCTTCAACATCTGGAACAAGATGAAGATGATGGTCTCCTACACTCCTGTGATTCTGGATCCAAAGCTCATCGCAGACTAATCCTGTCTGAAGATCTGACCAGCAGAAAGAAAGCAGCTTCCTGAAAACCCATAAAGAACCGACGATCATCGCTCTGTGTGGGACTGAGAGGCCTTAAAGTCTCAGCTGGGATGTTGACGTTGGACAAAACCCAGTCTGGTTTATCGGTGTGAGAGCTAAATCTGTCCAGAAGAAGGGATGTACAAAATCTGGATTCTGGCAAACAGAGTTCTACAAAGGCAAATACAGCAGACCAGTTTAAAAGGATGAAGGCTAATATTAAGTTGATAAACTCCACATGTTATCTGTGTGGCGTTGGGATGGAATAATATTCATACAAGCACAGAAACGGACTTAAAGCTGCATTATTATATATTTTTCTTTGAACATATTCGGAGTGGACATATTTTGAGTGATGGGTTGTAGTGTTCATACTTTCCCTCTCTCAGATATCAAAAGTTGCTGACTTAATAATAAACAAAGCCCGATATTGTGACATTCATTGTTCTCAGAGAATATGTTATAAATCAAATTTAAAAATTTAACAGTGGGCTTCAAAAGTGCTGTAAAAATACTGTAAAATTATTATTTTAAAAGATTAAATTAAAAAAATAAGCACCTCATACATAAAAATGGTAATTTTAAAATTTTATAACAAAATACATTTTATAGATAATAGATAGACTTTATTTTACAATAAGGCATAAATACATGGAATACATACAGTACATAAAAACTCATTTAAAGCAGCTACAGACTTCTGCTTTTACAGATTATAACAAACATTTAAAATCTCCCAATCAAACAAGGTCAGACAGAAAATTAAAGAACCAATATATGTGTTTCTTTGAACTGTCACTAATTGTATAAATTTTTTATTTTTTTTAATGTAATATTAGCAGCCTTAAACTTAAATGAAATGAAATGAATGAAATGAAAAATACTTTATTTATCCCAGATGGGAAATTCAATTAAATTTAACATTTGCAAGAATTTAATAAGAAGGAATTATTTGTGAAATTACAATAAATATGCAAATGTGTCTTAGTGATATATTTGTGTCAAAACATTCAATTTTCGTTAAAAAAAATCATAAAATAAATGGTTTTTAACCAAATTGCCAAATTTCCTGTTGGGGATTAATAAAGAATTTCTATCGATCTATGATTCTACCTTAGACGTCTATATTCACAGTACATTTCAATAGTGTTTTTGTGTTTTCAGAAATACAGACAAAATTTGTAAATCCATCCATCCATCATCTATACACCACTTAATCCTCACTAGGGTCACAGGGGGCTGCAGTCTATCCCAGCTGACTC